GTCTTACACCTTTTCTTTCAAGATATTTTAAAATCATATTCAGTCTTCAAGACCAAACGTATCATCAAGCCTTAACCCCTGAAACCAAGCAATTTATGTGTATATTTTATTCATATTTTCATTTCTATTTACACCCAGAAGTGGAAAATGAGACCTATACAGTTTTAAGTATTTTGTAAATAAGCACCATAAGATTATTGTTTTGATATGTCTAATATTAGATGTTCTAGTTAGCAAGATAATTGGAATAATTTTACAAATTTCTGTAATATTTTAATTCTTATCTAATTGAAGTAATCTTTAGCTTCAAAGTTTCTAATAAAAAGTATAAAACAATCAAAAGTATTTTTAAAAAGCTTTTAATTTTTAAAGGAATTAATATATGGTTTATTCAATCATACATTAAGAACTTGTGAAAACAAAATAGAAACATACTTCATAAAGTTAAATTAAAATTATTCTATTTTAGTTTTCAAATACTTTTAATTTTCTTCAAGGAAAAATATTAAATGAAACATAATCATTAGTTTTCATAATTTAAAAATAATTCTCTATGACTAGAAATTTAGAGAACCAAAATTTTCCCAAATCATTAACATTTTAAGTTGTTTCTTGATATTTTCTTAAATTAAAAACCGTGTTTGTTCAGATTCATGCACATCTTTATTTCAGAAAAACTATTGCTACAACTTGGTTAAAACAAAAGAAATATTTTACAATTATTGAAATGCTGGCTTATATTAAAGTTGGTTTACATTAGACAAATATTCAAAAGACTTGTATTGGAATTTTGATCTCCATCCTCTACCAATATATTAATGAAAACATTTAAAACTTTATAAGTAATCAAATAAAACTAAAATAATCTATCATTGTGTATTAGTCCATTTTCACACTTCTAATAAAGACATACCTGAGACTGTGTACTATATAAAGGAAAGAGGGTTAATGAACTCACAGTTCAGCATGGCTGGGGAGGCCTCGGGAAATTTACAATCATGGCAGAAGGGGAAGCAAACACGTGCTTCTTCACGTGGCAGCAGCAAAGAGAAATGCAGAACAAAAGGGGAAGATCCCCCAATAAAACCATCAGATCTCATGAGAATGAACTCACTATCATGAGAACAGCAGCATGGAAGTAACCACCCCCATGATTCAATTACTGCCTGCTGGGTCCCTCCCAAGACATGTGGGGATTATTCAAACTACAAGATGAAATTTGGGTAGGGACACAAAGCCAAACCATATCACATAGCTACACTGTTATTCTTCTTTATCCAATTAGCCAAGTTTTAAAAAATGATAATATGCCACTTTCAGCAATGAAGTTAAGCATTTAGAGTTAAGCACTCTGGCTCACTGCTGGTAGAAGTGAAAGCACAGCTTTTCAGAGGCTTAAATGTGACCTACCCTTTGACACAGCAATTCTCCTATTGTGAATTAATCATAAAGAAGTAGTATTTACAAAAATGTGTGTGTGTGTGTCAATATGTGTGTCTGTGTATGTGCGCACAAACACCTACATACAGATATATACACACTTGTAGTGTGTGTGGACAAGAAGTCAGTAGCAATAGATTGAGGAGTAAATGGTGACAAAGGCATTGATGGTAAACAAGTCTTCCTAGGAAATTACTTATGAAAGATAGAAGAAAGAGCACAGTAGCTAGAGTGGGAGGTAGGACCTGAGGTATCTTATGTTAGTGGAGATTTGAACCTGTTTAAACATTAATGAGAAAGAACAAATAGGCTAAGAATAGATAAGACCAAGGGAGAAGTGAAGGAGGACATCACCAAGAAGCAAGAGGTATAGAATTGGCAGCACAGATGGAGGAAGCAGCTATGACACTGGGCTGGGAGGGAGTTAGCTATGGATTAACACATGTGTGGGGTGGTGAAGTTGGAACAGTGAGAGAAAGAGAGAGGGAAAGACACCAGAAAGGAGACGTGGTGAGATACGGAGGATTTAACCAGAGGCAAAGCCACAGATTGCTCCTTTGGGAAATGAATTTTTAGTATTTAATGCCTCACATGCAAAAAACAAAAATCAGAACTCATTCCATTTATATTATGAGGACTGATATTATTCTAAGACTGCCTAATAATAATAATAATAATAATAAAGGTTATTCACAACCATAATTAAGCCAAGTATAATATTAAAATATAAGATAATTTCTTATAATTTTGAAAAGCAGTTGATGATCTTTATTTGTAAAATGCCAGATAGTAAATATTTAGGCTTTGTAAGCCATACAACAAATATCTCAACTGCTCAATCCAGTCATTATGGTTATAACAAAATCAGCTACAGATTACAGCTAAAGAAATGGGGGTGGGTGTGTTTCAATAAAACTTTATTTACAAAAATGGACGATGGGCCAGAGTTGCTGACTTCTGGCCTGACATAAAAATCAGTGAAGAACTTGACACTGGTAAGCTCAAGCTTTTGTTCTTTCAGGGTGTTTTAAGCTCATGCCTGATTATCATTACATAGTTTGTGGATCAAGGAGATTTTCTTCTATTTGTAGCAGAACAAGGGAAAGAACACCTACTCTGTGGTCTATGGTCCTAGATTTTACGGACGACTCTTTCACTTGTACTGTTTGATTACTTAAAACCTCTGAGCCCTAGTTTCCTCCTTTGTAAAACGAGGCAATGACCCTCTATTTAATCCTCACAGATTAAAATGAGAATAAAATGTAAATACCATAAAAATCTGTATTATTCATACATAAGGAAATCATCATTTGCAACAAAATCAGAAAATGTTGGTACAATCTCCGTATCTGTAAGACCTTGACATTATAACTATATATATATGGTATTATATATATAATACCGTTTCCCTAATAACTGTCTTAAGTGAAATGTATGCAAAGTGCTTGGCTGCATTGCCCAATACACCTTATATGCTCAATAAATACCAGATCATGTTCTTAATGTCCAAAAGTCCATTAAAATTGTCCAGTGCTTCTGACACATAGCGCCTGAAGTGGCAAAATCAAGTTATTCCAAGTCAAGCATAATGCTGGCAATGCTAGTTGTGGGCAGGGCAGTCACAACATACTTTTCAAGTAAGCCTCCCAGGGCTGCTTTGCAAATTGCTTAAGAATGGGTATTGGCAATTGTCACGGAGCCCAGTGACTCAGAAGCTGAGTTTTGCATTCTGAGTTGAATATCAGGAGAGAGTTTTCATTCTTCTGTGATTTGGAAGTTACAGTCCCAGACTAAAAGGAAGGCATGTGTTTGATTCTATAGTAACACAAACATAAAGAAACCCAATGAGACAGCATAGCTACCCCGGGGCAGCTTTAAATTAAACTGCAAATGTACTCATCAGCCCTTTGGAGGAACATTTGCCCCTATTTGTTCAGTATGTGCAGCTTGTCCACCAGACCAGGGAATGCTTGGTTATTATGTGATTCCACCCCATTAAAGTTCTTCAAGCCACCCAGGAGGGGAAGAATAAGCAGCAATCAGTTTTCCCTGAATGAAGAAGGATTCAATGAGGGAGAAATATGCAGTACAGGTGCAATTCTAACTCATTTCTGAGTAAATATATAGAAAACTTTGTGGTCAGGTGTGATTCATCAGAAGGAAAAGCATTCTCTATAACAGTTAACCTACATTTCAAGCAGAGATTGGGCTTTTTTTCCCTGTCTTTTTAAATATTTTATTTTTAGTTCCTAGTGAAATCGGTAGGAATCAGCACAGCTGCCAGGTTATGTGGTGTTATTCAAACATGAACCTTCACCTGGAACACCTGTTATCTGCAACAGTGATGATGAGGATTTTGGCATTTAATAAGGCATTTGTCCTCGGTAGTTTGAAACCCCAGGCTTTCACGTAGACTTGTTTTTGACACGGTGCATTTTTAGATCCTGAATACAGGGACTGTACGGTGCATTTGGTTCAAACATCGGATACAGGTGTCCATTGAAACTCCCTTCTTCCTCTCACTTTCCGATCAAATAGATACAACTTTTCATACTGCTCTTAGGTCATGTTCATAATCATCATCTCAAAAATTCATGACATTTATTGTTTATAAGGTTTATTTTTAATCATTCAAATAGGACTTTTAAAAAATGTTATAAAAATAGTAACTTAACAAGATTATAGTTGCCATGCATGAATTGAGGAAGAATTCAACCCCAGATCTCATGACCCCAAATAACTTTTTTTAAATAGTATGTCTTATTAAGAATAACAAATTTTTACATAAATGAAAACATTTAAAATGGAAGGGTATTGATATAAAGAATGATATGATATAAGGAACCACCAAAAATACATTGTGTAAAAAGTTTGCTTCAGTCCATATTTCTATAAAGGAGTATTTCCAAAGCTGAAGATCAAAAGAAGCTTACATGTGTATGGTGTGTGTTCACAAATTATATTAAGCTTGTGTCTCCCTTCTGGCAAATTGGCAATAGATGAGAAATGTAAACCACATAAGATGCTACATATTGGTTTACATGAGCCTCTGTATCCTCCTAAGAACACATATACACGTACAACCACAAGAACACGATGGAGGCACAATACTAACTGATTTAATGTGATTCTGTGATTCTTATTTATAGAACTGGAGGTTTCGCATTTCCCATTCCTACCTAATTCAATCATTCAGATTGCCTGATTTACTTTTAGAGAAATGATTCCCTCCTGGGAGCAATTTTGCTTCCCAGCAAAATTTGGCAATGTCTGAAGACATTTTTGTTTGTCTCAGAGAAGACTGTGTGCTACTGGCATCTTGTACAAGGCCACGGATGCTACCAAATATCCTATAATGTACAAGACAGTCCCCCACAACTAACAAATATCCTGCAAAAGGTCAGTGGCACCAGTGGAGATGAATGCGAACATGCTAACCACATTTCTAGAGACTAATACCTGAACAAGAATTCAATTTATTAATTTGCAATGACAGCTAGAACTGTCAAGGGGACCAGGATAGTCATATTTACTAATGAAATATTTATATATATATATATATATATATACTCCCTCTGGAAAATCTATACAAAAATCCAAATTAGAACCAGGCATTTATTTGCTAAACATAAAGTCAATTCTAGGAAGATAGATACTCCTTATAGAACTTATCACAATTAAAATCGATCATTTGTGTGATTATATACATATTCCTCCTCTTCATGTCTAAAAAGTCTATGGGGACATGGAATATACTTCAATATGCATCACCTTAACCACAGTATCTAACTGTACTGCCCAGCACATAGTAGGTACTAACAAACATTTATTGAATCCATGAATGAATGAATCTTATCTTTAATGGTTCAGTGTACAAATCCGTATTAAACATATAACATGTACAAAGCACAATTTGAAGCATTGGGATTACAAAATATAATAAGATAGTTTCTACTTGTGTGGAGGTTCTTGAATTCTGATGCACTAGATGGACACTACCAGTTATGTCAGTCTGCTGAAGCCATAGCCTGCCCTGCCAACAGGCACCATGGAAGAGCTGAGCCTCAGCAGCCCTGTTAGTATCATGTGACTCTGTGCCTTGGCCACATTTGAATGGACTAGGGTGAAAAAGTATGAAAGCAGGAAGTGGCAGCATCCTATCATCTGAGCTTTAGCAAAAAGATGGACCCTGACAAATCAGATTCCCATGCTTGGGTATTTAAAAACTACTAAATGACTGAAGCAGAAGTGTAAAGAGAAGTTGCAAAGATACTGTAGTGTTTTGAATGGTGATCCCCCAAAAGACGTCCAACCCAAAAGTTGTGAATGTGACCTAATTCGAAAAATGTTTTTGTACTGGTAAGTAAAAGATTTAAAGATGAAATCATCCTGGATTAAGTAGGTGGGTCATAAATCCAATGAGCATATCTTTATACATGAGACAGAAAGGTTTGGACACGCAGGAGAGGTTCATGGGAATGAAGCCACAGACAGACAGTGAAGCTACGTAGCCACAAACCAATGAAGACCCGGAGCAGCCAGAATCTGGAAGAAGGAAGGAAGGACCCTCCCCTGGAGCCTTCAGAGCTAGTGTGATCCTGCCCACACCTTGATTCTTGAACTTCTGGCTTTCAGAACTGTCAGACATGTTTGTTTCTTTCAGCCTCCGCACCTTATTATGGAGCCTTAAGAAACTAACACAATGTCTAGAAAGAAGAATATACAGGAGTGAAAGTCATGAACACCAGCTTGCAACCACTGATGTAATATGGAAGAAGCAACTGAATAAACCAAAAGCTTTGCAATAGAGAAATAACACAGTTTGGAGGAAAATACTGAGCTTTGGAGGCGGCCCCAGGCGGTGTGTGCCAGTCGCCGTGTTAGAAGAACTCGACCTCGACTCAGGGTGAGGGACGGTGTCCATACCCCATACTGGCACAGGGGTTGTACCGCTGAGGGAAAGGAGTTGGACTCCGAACCTCCAGGAGAGTGCAAGGACACTACTGAAAGGAATAATAAGGCTTATCTCTAGGATCCATAAGTTGGACCCTGGGCTTTTGTTACACATGGGAACCCAGGCACACCAAAGCATTGCTGCTCACCTAGATAACCAGGTTCCAGTTGAGAGTCCCAGAGCTATTTCCCACACCAATGAGAATGACCCAGCTAAGCATGGGGATCAGCATGAGGGTCAGCACTACAACATCTTCCCCCAGGATATGAAGACAGTAGTTCCCCAGGGCCTTCCTCCTCGCTTTGTGATGCAGGTGAAGACATTCAGTGAAGCTTACCTGATGGAAAGGAAACCAGCCCTGGAACTTCTGCATTACCTGAAAAAACACCAATGTTGCTTATCCGACTGTATGATATCTTCTGTATGGGGAGAAGGGAACAGGAAAAACTCTCAGTCTTTGCCATATTATTAATTTCTGTGCAAAACAGGACTGGATGATACTACATATTCCAGATGCTCATAATGGGGTAAAAAATTTCCGGGAACTTCTACAGTCGAACTACAACAAACAACCCTTTGATCAACCTTTAGAGGCTTCAACCTGGCTGAAGAATTTCAAAACTACAAGTGATCGCTTCCTGAACCAGATAAAAATTCAAGAGAAGTATGTCTGGAATAAGAGAGGAAGCACTGAGAAAGGCAGTCCTCTGGGAGAAGTGGTTGAACAGGGCATAACACAGTTGAGGAACGCCGCAGATGCATTGGAATTGTGCTGAAACAGCTAAAGAGGCAAAGTTCTTTGGGTATTTTTCACCTCCTGGTGGCCGTGGATAGAATAAAAGGCACTTGGAATTGGATCATAGAGAGCAGCTATGCCACTTCTCTAGTTTAGTTCTGGTGTAAAGATACACAGATTCCTGCTCTTGATAATCCTGCTGCTTTGGAAGAAGCTTCTTTTCCTGTTTATCCATTAAGAAGTCAGGCATGTTTGGGTTTTATATTTGTTTACTCTTACAGGAAACTTTTCATCATTCCCTAAGGTTAAAGCATTTTGTAAAGAATTCTAAGTGGAAAATTGCAATATAAAGCAGAAAGTTGTAAACAAGTCCAGCATGCCTTCTTTACTAATGGACTTCCCAAGAGAAACACTGGGTCTGGCTAGAAATTCCATGAAAAGCTTCCTGCATGAACTTATTAAATTATACCCTGCATGTCTTGAAAGTTGAGTGGGGACTTTTCAACTGACTAATAAGAGATGAAATGACAAGAAAAATTTTCAAAAGAGAAAAGATAAAGAAAACTGAAAGCACAGAGGCATGAAATCATGTGTATTATCATCTTACTATGTAATGGGATCAAGCTATGGGCACATGAGGAAGATAGAGAAGCAAAAGATACTGAAATATTATTGTCAGGAGATTGGCACACCCTGCCTCCCACAGACTACTTTTGGCTTCATGATAAGCAGCCTCTTGAGACAACTGATGCGCCTATAGTTTTAGATGGGCTAATGCAATTCCATTCCTGTGAGATTGCTTCAAAGTTACTAACCCAAGATATATTTGAATTTTTTCCATTTTGCCCCTTCTGCAGATAGCTGATGTAATTTCCTGCACTTTTCCTGATCTTTCAGACAAAGTATGCATTTGAAATTTTGGGTGTCTTAAAATACAGGGAAACAAAGGTCTCTATTCTTTTTTTCTGGAATTTGAATTAATGCCCTTTATGTGGCATCAGTGTGAAGATTACTCAATAGATGAAAAATCAAAGAAAAAGAATAGTTTAAAATATGTATGTGAAAACAATCTACAAAATAGAGATGTTCTCTCAAACGCCCTCTAACTAAAAAAATGAAAAAGTGTGGTTTGCATTTAGTTTCTTTTTTGTAAATATGTGACATATCTAGTCTGTCCCAATCACTGTGCTAACTCCCTAGTACGAAAGGTAACTAAAAGCGCAGCTTCACCCAAACATAAATTATAATTTAGTGTGTTTTGAAGGCATCATTTTGCCTGACAGTATAAGCAAAAAGCAGAAAATAGTGATTGATTAACCTTATTTTGTGGTGATGCCGAAATCTAATAAACCCAAATTATAGAATGAAATGACGATAACAAAATTGAAGGAACCAATATTTCTGGTTGGTGTCCACTTTTATTACAGTGCTAAAAATAATCATTGAGAAGAAAAGGTAGATGAATGCCATCTTGTTATTTTCCAGCGTTGAGAGAGGTTTAGATTAGTATGTTGGGGATAGGAACAGTAAGAAGTTAGTAGGCTTCACACATAAGATGAATAAATATAGATCATTATAAATGACTCCAAAAATCATAGCTCCAGAGGTTCTGACTGGGCTTATAATGAAAGGAACAAAGAATGTGAGAAAATATGGTGTCTTCACAGTCTCATAAACAATACTTTCTGAGACCTTCTAAAGAATAGAGTGAAATGGATAAAGAACTCTCTGAGAAACTCCTGTTGTTGTTGGATTTTTAAAGTTGTCATAAACCACCTTCGTACTTAACCTAAATAATGAATGTTGTTATTTTTTTGTTATATTTAAAATGTAAATATTGTTATGAAATATATTACAATACTATGTTGTATCGCTAATGTCAAATTGTGCCTTGTTAAAACAAAGTTATGCATTATTTTTGAAAATAAATATGGAATAATATGTTTAGAAGCTGATTAGGAGAAATTAATCATCTTTGTCATAAAAGTTTTGTTACTTTATTAAAAAACTTCATTTACTGAAATACACATGCATGTATGCACACACACACAGACACACACACACACTTTCACACATTGTAATCAGTGTCTGTGAACAGGTAACTTTGTAGTCTCCTATTTATATTCATGTTATTAGAAATTCTTATAATCTAATTTAAAGGTAGAAATTTTAGAAATTTCCAAGTTAAAAATTAATATTATTCAAATTAATGAGAAAATAATTTGTTCTGAATTTACACATAAGACATAAAAATAATATGTATAAAAGAGAGATCAAAGTTGCAAAGTACAGAAGAATGTAATTGCAGCAGGCATCAAAGGTGTGGTAATTTAAACATGAACACAATTTTTCATTCAGCAAAATTATTTTACAACCTTTAAAAAAATAATGTGCATTATAATTTTTAAAGCATTCTTATTAAGGAATCAATCAATAATTATAAATATATAAATAAGATATTAGACATCTAAAACAAACAATATATAATGTAGAGAAAAACATATTAATTAAAAGGAACTGTAGAATTATAGATTATTTTACATATCATATTATGAATATACCATATCTAATTATATTATAAATATGACAAGTTTAAAATAGATTCAAGTAACTATTCCAATGTGGTAAATTAGCAGTGTTTATGTAGCAGTCGGATTTTTGCTTTGTGTGGATGTGGATGTGTGTGTGGATGTCTGTGTGGAAGTCACCTCTATCTTTTTAAATAAAACTGGTTGCTTTTATCAGAACATTCTTTATCTGACCAAATCAGGAAACTCCCAAATTCAGCTGAAATATGGCGTATGCAAAAATCAGTAGGTGAGAAAGTACTTTCCGAAAATACTTTATGTAACTAGAAGTTATAATTAAAAGTTGTCTTTACAATGATCAAGAATGAGCCTTAAGTGAAGTAGCTGATACAAGCTTTAATTCTTTCCTACGTTCTCTTTTTTGTATCTTTTCCTCTCTGTCCATGGATGCCTGCCCTTTCCTCACATCTCATGGGATTAATTCCCATCATACTCTTCTGTCATCAATACTTGCCCTTTGACATTAAGGCCAGGTGGATTGCTGATATCTTCCTCTTGGTACACTTGGCCCCTCCTGCCTTATCTTGCCCACATGGATTAGGTATGAGTAATGAACCCTCAATGGAGAGTGTGAGCCTCAGTAATTCTGAATTCTGTCTTCACATTATGTGTCATTTGGGCAGATTTTCACAAGTAGGGTCATCTTCTGCCCACTGCATGCATGCTTTCACACCTCCACCCCTGGAATCTGATTCTCATTTTTCTGGAATATGATTCAGGCATAGGCGTTTTCGAAGCTCCTGAGGTTGTTTGGAGGCCCAGCCAGCTTTACTAACTTCTGACCTAATCCTACCAATAGAACCTCATTCTCTTTGCCACAGTGCTTTGTGCAAGGGTGGGAAACTCTAAGCCATCCAATGACCAGTCACAGAGACTGGCTCAGGAAACCTCTGAGCCAAAGAGACACCTGGCAAGACTACCTGAGGGCTTCTCAGGGAGGTGGATGGGAGCAGGAACTTCCTTTTCCTTTCCTGAAAATTTCCAGAAGTGATTGTCACTTCCCGGAAACCTTGGCCATCCTGCTCCCTCTGTGAAGATGAGGGCTGACCTACAAGAATTATAGAGAGAAGGATGCAGAGTTCTACATGGGCTATTCTGGGTCACAGCTCTATGTTTAAATTTTTAGATCATCTGAACCAAAATATATGCGTTATTTTGGTGTTAATTCAAGTTTGACTTTTCTGTTAAAATGAGTGCATTCCAATGAACACAGCTTTCCTTCTCACAGAGGTGTAAAAATTGATATAATATACTATAACCCTATAATCAGAGGTATTTTCATTTTAATAAAGGTTGAGTAACTTCCTACTAAAGAATAAACCTTTTATGGTAGAATTTCAAGCATTGGCAAGTAGATGAGGTAAAGAGGGTACTCGCCTGGCATTTCTGAAATCACTTTGAACTAATTGAACACTTAACAAAAATATATTGAAATTGAAGGACTCTGATTCTTACCTCAGTCTTAGCTTTTCACTTATTGCCTCTGTGACTTCAGTTAAATTACTTACTTAATTTCCTTAGGTTTCCTTATTTCTAAAAGTGTAAATATATCAAAGGGTTCTAGTGAGGATAAAATAAAATAGTATGTATAAAATTTATTAGTACACTGTGGCTGGTGAATAAAAATGGGACATTCTATTTTTTTTTTTATAAATTGTACCTTACCATATGCCTATATGCTTCGTTCCTCTTAGTAATATAATAGAGACCTAAAAGTCCTAAAATAAAAAGTGAAGGAAGAGGAGAAAGGAAAAGTTTATGTTACCATTGCTGCTTGAGTCTCCATAGACGTGAGTGTGTTGATCAGTGCTTCCCTGATTGACCAGTCTTTTACTTGATAACTGGTAGATCCGTGAACGCATGCCAATTGTGTATAGACTCACGGCAATGGGCACCTAAATGGTCTTGCTAATCGGTAATCTGAAACCTCTGACCTGACCTTTGTACCTTTTGCTTCCAAAGTGGCAGCTGAAAAGGTAAAGCAGAAATGTTTTATAGCTCTGAAGCAAAGTTTGGTCCCCCGATGCTTGCAGACGCTATCTACATACCTAGTTCCATCAATTGTATCTGTAACCTTGTCTGTTTCTCCTCCTGGTATGAAATGATTATACGTAGGCAGAGACTTTCTGAACCTGCCAACGCTTTGGATGACTCTTAAAACAGGTTTACTGTGTATGGGAAATCCAAACTAAAACTTAGGACACAGAAAAGTCATTCAGGGAAGTACATTTATACTATTTCACTTGACATTAATGGAATTTTAAAAAATGAGATTATGTCATAGAGTACCATATATGTGCTTGCAGAAAGATCAATAGATAAGATAAGGGACTATTTAGGAATAAGTTCCTGAGACATCTGGAATTTTCTCTCAGTGATACCAGTTCCTGTCAGTTAAAGGTAGGTTACGATTTGAAAATGGATAGCATTCTATATATAAGACTTTTCAGTAATAGATACTGTGGCCATACCCTTAAAACAGAATACTCTAGTAACAGAATATATGAAGTTTTGAAACAACCCAGTGAAGTTTGAACTACACATTGCTGAAGTTAGGAGTTCTGTCTTTTATGTGGCACAGCTGAATTTGGTACATGATTCTAATGATTAATTTTAATATTAAATTTTTACATTTTAAATAAAACATGATCCTGAAACTAGAATATCACATTCTCAAATATTTATAAAATGCTGTGTCCTAAGTCACAGAAATTATTATAAGACATGTAGCACTGCCTGGAATTATTTAGATGAACACAGTGAACATTTATGTAACCATATAATAGGAAACTTCAGTTTTGCTAATACCTAAGTTGATATTTAAAGTAAGTATCACCTAAGTGAACATTTTGTAAGTTCAAAGTCACATTTTGTAATTGGGTATTATTGTGAAAACTTAAATAACATCAAATACATCTTTGAATGTTTCAAGTGAATATTGACTCCTGAATGAGGTAT